TTTACTGAAGGAAGAACCTCTGAACTTAAAAAGGTGATATAATTATCACCATTGAAATCATAATTCTGTTATTAGCCATAGAATATTTTGCCACATTTCCTTTGATTTATACCAGTTTTACCTATGTGGTCAGCATTAGCCATTACTATAGTTACTATTTTAGTAGCCATTTTTATAGGCTTCTATTATAGTTAACTTGTGGTAGGTGCATCCAAGGAACTAAATTTTAACTAATTTAAATTTAAACATTGATAATGCAATTACTGGACACTTTTGTGCATAAATGGAAAAACTTGGTTATGTGGACATACATGTTCAACTGTAAATTTTTTTGGAATCTAAATACAAATTAAGTATTTCAGTGAAAATTTATCAACTCAATTGAAATATGTATAAGTGCAAAAAAACACTGGATTTCCAAGTCTTAGTATGAAACAAAGAAATGTGAAAGATCTTATTGAACTTCTGAAATATTGATAACATGTTGAAATTATAGTTTGCATATATTGTGCTAAATAACATTATTAAGATTATTTAATGGTTGTTGGAGACCTCATGGGCCTCCTCTTTTACTTTTTGAATGTGGCTAATAGATGATTTTCAATCACTTGTGTGGCTCACATTTTTACTGAGCAATAATCAGAATTACTATGCCTATGCATTGTGGTTATTTGTTAAAGGCATTATGGTGGCAATGCTATTGTCTCAAAAAGTCATCTTTAACATTCACGCTTACAGAAACACCCTGTAATCTTTCAGACCAGTTAACATTTCATTTCTGTCCTGTGGTCCCGTTTCCCTCTCTCTGTGCACCCCACTCGTATTTCCAGTAGAATTCTGGCAGCCCTTTGCCGGGCAGCCTCCTCCGTGGACCTTGAGAGGGGAAGACTATCATGAATGCGCAGATCTGTGTAAGGACTGGAGTTGTCATTCCAAATTTTCAGCTGATAAGGAACGAGTTGTGTGTACCTACCATGGGCCACTTGAGAGAGACACAGTCAGTGTGATAGGGGACCCCACCCTATCACATTCCCCGGAAGGGCCCAGGGGGTCCCAGCTCCATTCCTTTACTTGTCAATGAGCTACTCACGAGGTGGAAACAAACCATTTAGTTCTTTACTGAAAAGCCACTGACCGTCAGGTTTAAGATTGTAGATTCTTTTGTTACATGTACACAACAGAGGACTTTACTACTACTGTTTGTGAGTAAGGGTAATTTGGGTACTTTTGGCTCTGTGAGAAACTGCAGTCTAAAAAAATTGTTAAAATGAATAACTCCTAACATAAAAAAGTGTGATGTTTTATTTCAGTTTAGTAAGGGTATGAAATTGTGACAGCAGGGAAAGTAAGGATAATATTTTTATATTAGTAATTCTCTGAAGAATAATTGTACATTCTTATAGTTTAAGGATCCATGCAACCCCACCAATTATAAAAATTGAGAAAGTTTGTGCTATCTTGAGAAGTAAGCTAAGTTTTTAATATTTATTTTTCTTGGATATTAAAAATAGTAATTAGCCCTCCCAATAACTGTTTGTATGGACAGGAGACATGTTTATATTTCACTTCTTTAAAGAAAGGATGTCATATAAAAAATTGTTAAAATGAATAACTCCTAACATAAAAAAGTGTGATGTTTTATTTATACATATAGAAGAAAATTTAGCAAATAGGGAAGTAGCACCATCATCCAGTATAAATCTTGTCATTAAAGTTGTTTAAGTCTTTTTTTTGCTTTGTATTTTTAATTTAGTTAAAATTTCTAATCTTGCTTGTTATCTAAGAGCACATGATTATGTCGCATATTACTGCATAATTATGTTTTTTTAATTTGATTTTTGAAAATTTACTTAAAATTTAAAATTAGGCTAAGATATTTTTAGGCACTGATGGTAATCTTCTTGGCTTACTGCCTTTTTGGGGTAAAATCTCTCAATAGTATCTGAGTCTGTTCATATCAGTCTTTTGATTTTGTAGGTGTGACAACTGAACAAGTATAATTCACTTTCAAATTAGAGATTAGAAGTGAACTCTGTAAGATTTCTCTCCTGTGGGAATTTATTTTAAATGTAACAGAAGTTTGTATGTGTTTTGGTTACTAGAGTCTTTCTTAGAGTTGGAAGTGCAGGAAAAGAGAAAAGGGTAGAAGGAAGGGAGTGGACAAGTGGACTGTCTGCACCCCATATGCTGTTTCCCTAAACATGCCACAGACTTGGGGGTCTGGAGTTATAGTCACCCTGAGTGGAATCTTCTAGAGCAGAAGTGTTTTACTCTGCTTTCCCCATATCTGGCCAACTTTGTAGCACAAAGCAAGCATTTAAAGAACACCCAATGATTGAAGGAAGAGAGGACAGTAGACACATACACCAAGCGCGAGAGTTCGATCAGGGTGCTCTTGTTTGCTTATAAGCTACGCAGTATGAGCTACAAGTGGTTAACAGTAAGACATTTTGTAATTTCACATGATGCAAGTTCAGAGTCAGGGCAGTTCCAAGGTTGGTTATGCATCTGACTGTCAGGGAAGACCCAGGTGGTTTTCATTGTTGTGCTCAGCCATCCTCAGTATATTGGTGGTTTTTC